AGGTGAATAATAATAATAATAATAATAATAATAATAATAATAATAATAATAATAATAATAATAATAATAATAATAATAATAATAATAATAATAATAATAATATAATTATTGCCGTTAATCTTTATTTGTCAAGTAAAGTTATTTCTTGCTTACAATAATTAATGTTTTAATATGCTAATTAATACAAGAAAATAAAACAATTTAATTGTGGTTATACATTTACTCAACACAATTTTCTTCATAGATGTTTCTTTCCTTCAAGTTTTTAGATTTGATCTTCCATAAATGACACTGGTTAAATATAATACTACATCTTATTGGGAGATTCTGTGGTCCCGTTACGGAACCATTTCGTCGTTTTTTTATAATCATTAGATCTACTATATATCCCTGTCAGTTACATGATTATTTAACAGTTACAAATTCCGACGAAATAGTTTCGTAACGGGACTGTACTATTTCCCCATCTTATTACCTTTCCATTATTCAATCTTTTTTTTTTTTTTGTAATGGATAATGAATTTAGCATTATGCAATGAGGATATAGCAACCACTAATAGCAATGACTCAATGGCACTTGCGTGCAAGAGTTCAATTTCCTTTTTAACATGACAAAAATTATGGATAGTGCGATATAAAGGTTGGCTCTTTCAGTGGCGCCTTTTTATAAATTACTTTCCTAATAAACCACACCACTAACAAACCTTGATAACTACAAGTTGACTAAAGTTATGGCTGCCACAAGCCTTTGGTCGGTTTCAAATTTTTTTACCACAAGGGTTTGTTCCAAGGGCTTATGTTGGCTTGGGAACTGGGTTACCGACATGTAGTGGCTGAGATTGATAGCTTTTGTGTGAAAAATATAGTTAGTGAGCCTACTGACGAGATTGGACCCCATGAGGCGTTGGTTCGAGCCATTCGGGAGCTGCTCAGTCGGGAGTGGAGGATTAAGTTTCAACACATTTATCGGGAAGCAAATTTTGCCGTTGATTACATGGCGAACTTGGCGGAATCTTTACCGATTGGTCTCCATCGTTTAACATCCCCGCCTGTGGGATTGGGTACTTGGCTAGATCATGATACTATCGGGGTTTCGTACCCTCGTCGAGTCCTAGCTTAAAGAACGTGACTCCCTTTTTTTGTACCCAAAAAAAAAATTTATACCACAAGAAATTAATTTAATTAAATGGTGGGTTTCATTTTAAAGAACAATTAAATAAGCTTTAATTCTTTCATTGTGAAACATTGTAATTTTGTTTTGTGATACTTTTCAGAGCATAACATTTTAAATTAAAAATATAGACATCTTTTAAAATGTAAGATTATCTAAAGTCTGTTGAAGAGACGACTTTACGTTCATTACACGTGTCGATGGTCGTGCCATCAGCCTTCCCCCCTTGTTCGGAGGGGGGGGGAGGGGTGTAGGCCTCCCGGTACACCGGTGGGTGAAGACCCTGTACCGAGGACTCATGGACTTACACAGTGCTCCAGTCCTACAGTGAAGACTCGTGTTTAGACTTTTTGTGGTTTTTGCCCTCCCCAAGACTCGAACCCCGTACCCTGAGCATAAGGTGAGATTCATGACAAGTCCTGGTACCATCTCACCATAGTGGAGAAAATATTATATAAACGATGGTGGAGAAATTATATAAACTGTTGGAGAAAATATTTCTAAAACGATGCAAAAGAACGCAAATATAAACCATATGGTGGGATGGTACCAGGATTTGTCATGAATTCCACCTTATGCTCAGGGTACGAGGTTCGAGTCCTGGGGAGGGCAAAAACTGCATAAAGTCTAAACATGGGTCTTCATCCTAGAATTGAAGCACTATGAAAGTCCATGAGTCCCCGGTAAAGGGTCTTCACCCACCGGGGGCCCCACGCCCCCCGAACAAGAGGGAAGGCTGATGGCACGACCATCAACAAAAAGGCCGATGGCACGATCATCTTCAAATGGTGTATTGACACATGTCCTGCAATAATTACACATTTGACATGTGTCAATAATAAAGTTACGGATGACTCCATAAGATAATCATCCGATGACTCCATAGCGTTTCTGGACAAAGGTAACAAACAAAATTGTTTAAGAAGTTCATAAACTGCTGCCAAACTAAAGACACAATCCCCCCTATATATTAATCCAGAACGCGCTGAGCCTACGTGGCTGCTTCTGGTGCTTCGGAATCCTATGTGGCAAAATTACATACTTCGTTATTAGGCTTGGATAAATTTTAATTTAATTCCAAACAAAAAATAATTAGGTTCGGATTACCATAAATATGTTGATTATTTATGGTCATGTTATATGTATTAATTGCATTTTAATATCATTCCTTATTTTAATTATTGAATTATATATATATTAAAAGTTAATAACTTTTGTACTTTTTTTTTTCAATTTTACATATGTAATATACTAAATTAATCTTCTTTTGATGAGCTTCAATTTAACATCCATATTGTATGTATAAAAAAATAATTTATATTTATCTTTATAACATAATAAAATTATTTTTAATATTAATTAGAAAAATAAAATAATTTATCAACTAATATATTTATATTTCAAATAGTTATATGATATAAGTTATAAAAACTAATATGATATAACACATGTAAGTCATAAATAACACATATCATTCTAAAATATATAGTAATATTTTTTTTGTAAAAAAGTAAACTAAATTTAATATAGTTTTCTCATTAATTTTAAAATTTAAGAATATTTTTTTAACAAGCACCCGTGTAATATACGGGTATTGTACTAGTATATTGCAATTTATAAAAAACTGTAATTTTACCTTTATTATTATTAATTGAGGAAATTATTGTGTATGATTAGTGATAGGAGTATGGCATAAGCGATATATAGGTCAAAAAAAGGGATGGACCGACCACATAATTACAATGATTAAAATTACAAACACGCTCGTAATTATGCAACTTACATTGCAAGACTTGGTTGGGTTCATCCACATAATTATATTTATTCATTATTCAGTTTCATTTTCTACGTTGCATATATCTATTAGGACAGGACAATGCTACACGTACCGCAGCTTGTACCGCAGGGTTTACACTTTGGTTAAAAAACGTATTCTCAGAATACGTTTTTCAAATAATTTAATTGAAAAACGTATTCTCAGAATACGTTTTCAATGAAGGGTACACCATGCGGTACAACCCCTGCGGTACAAATAGCATTTTCCATTAGGACAATACCTAACCTACACATAATAATACTATTAAGAAATTTACTTAAATATTTAAAAAAAAAAAAAGATGTTTTTGTTTTAAATTTTAAATGATTTTTTTTAAAAGAAAAGAACTCGTCCTGTATTACATATTTTTTCTAGCTCAATTTATATAATGGAAATATTTATTTTATTAAATTTTATTATTTTCCAATTAATGTTGGCAGATGGTTTACTTTTAGTAAAAAAAAAAAAAGTAAATATAATGACTTTTTGTTTTGTATACACAATATGGATACCAAACTAATTCTAAAATATATTTGTAGGTTAATTTATTCAAGTATTTTATAATTTAAAAAATATTATCAATATTATAAAACACAAAGAAATCAAACACCAAATTGACATTTACGATATGAAAACTTACAATTTTGCTATGAAACTAACAGTTGACTCCTATAAAAATTTACTGTTTTGTTATGAAACCAACAGTTGGCTGCACAGTCAATCTTAATTCTATATACAACAAGTAAACCATACCATATTCTTTGATTAAATCATACTTTCTATATAGTACTTGTTTATGGTCAACCTAGATGAAATATTAACGATTAATTACCAAAAGTTTTCTTTTGGGCTTGTTCTTTAGAGAAATACTACAGTCTCGTTATAGAACTATTCCGCGGGAATTGAAATCGTTAGATCATCATGTCACCGTCATGAATAGTTGATTTAACAGTTACGAACCTCAAGGGAATGATTCCGTAACGGTATTGTGGAATCTCCCTGTTCTTTATTAATGGCACGATATACCCTCAAAGGAAACTCTCAAAACTACACAAACAAGTGAATTAAACTCACCAAAAATTTCCACACTTACACTTTGTTTCATAGTCATTAATCTGCTACACAACAAACAAGTGAATTAAACAACTATAATTGTATCCCAAAAATGAAACCATAATACAATAGATAATAATACAGCACACACAGAGAAACCCAGAAAAAGGCACAAAAACACAAACACAGACAAGCAAAAGAACACTATTATTATCAATCAAGTCTCGTGTTAACAAAACAACACAAAGGCTTTTCCATCTGTTTAGAATTTAGATAGAAAAGGTTTTGCCTTTAACAAAAACGAAAGAAAAGAATTTGTTCGATTCATCACGACCCGATCGATCATCACCTACCTTCGGATTTCACCAGCTGTGAAAAAACCCGACTCATCGAAACACCCGAGAGGTCATCCACCGCGCCCGAACTCTCCAACCGAGCCACAGAATCACCACCGGTCTCCAAATCATCAAAACCCCCCACCCGAGCTGCTAGCTGTCCAATCGCGTTTGTACTGTTCTCTTCCGGATCATTCTCGATCACTGCCTCTTGAAGCTGAAGTGCATACTCCAAATTCCACAGCACGTCTCCCATAGACGGCCTATCGACCCCAAAATCCGCCAAACACTTCTCGGCCGTCTCACCAAACTTCCTCAACGAGTCGGGTTTTACCTTGCCCGCAAGATTCGGGTCCACGATCCGCTCCAGCTGGCCCTTCTTCTGCCACTTCATTGCCCACTCGGCAAGGTTAACCATTTCTCTCGGTAGAGAAGGGTCTATCACGGGCCTCGCGCAAAGGACCTCGAACAAAACCACACCGAACGAGTAAACGTCCGATTTTTCAGTCAGCTGCTGTCGCCTGAAGTACTCGGGGTCCAAATACCCAAAGCTCCCTTTAACAGCTGTGCTGACGTGGGTCTGGTCGAGATCGGGCCCGGTTTTCGAAAGCCCGAAATCCGCCACCTTGGCCATGAGATTCTCGTCGAGCAGTATGTTCGCCGACTTCACGTCACGGTGGATCACAGCTTTCGAGTAGCCTGTGTGGAGATAATGCAGCCCGCGAGCGGACCCGATGCATATCTCGAGCCTCTCCTTCCAGCCGAGGCTCGGGAGGCCCGAGCCGTACAGGTGGCTCTTAAGTGTCCCATTCTCCATGTACTCATATACGAGAATCATCTCGTTTTTCTCGTCACAGTACCCGATCAACGAGACGAGGTGTCGGTGCCGGAATTGAGAAAGCATCTCAATTTCGGTTCTGAACTCGGCCATCCCTTGCTGGGATTTCGGGTTTCCTCTCTTGACGGCTACTTTTGTCCCGTCGTATAATACTCCTTTGTACACCTTCCCGAACCCTCCCACACCAATCACTCGACTCT